GGCCAAAACAGAGACAAGAACTTGAAATGTCAAATGGCAATCCTACACCGGCATAGATCCAAAACACGAGTCTTACAGGATACGAAATCTTAAAGCTTAAGAATAGACAACATCTCTAAAAACATGGTTTTTTTCTAAGGAATCTCATAGAAACTAGAAACACACTTATAATAAGATTTCTGAAAGAGAAAGATAAAAAAAATCAGCTGACATCTAGGGTGTTCTTCAGGCCTCTTCTACAGATCGTCCTTGCTAGTAACTTGGAAAATCTAGTCAATTGAGAGCCGCAAGAAGCAATAACAAAGAGACATGATAGAACTCCTAGAGATATATGCTTAGGTAAGGGACCCCATCATCTACCTGGCATACGGATGATAACGACTACTCCCACTATAGCCTGAGGCTCTACTACCACCATACATCCCACCTCCAATTCCACCATAACTCGAGCCAGGTCCAGAATCATACCCTGCACCTGACCCCGCACCATAACCCCCATAACCACCACCTCCTCCACCACGGGCATAGGCACCGGGCCCACCACCATAGCCCCCACCACTATAGCCCCCACCATAAGAACTAAAACGGCCCGTATAGCCAAGCGGGCCGTCCCCTCGGTAACCAAACTCACTACTCCCATAATCCCCATACCGGCCAGTGTACTCACTCGGGCCACCATATCCATAGTCACTGAACCTACCACCCAAGCCCGATCCAATTGACCTATAGGATGTCGGGCCGAAACCGGCACCGCCAAGCCCACTATAGGAGCTTCCGAAACCACTGTAACTATCGGCATATGATGCACGTCCCCTATATTCACTAGCGTAGGAAGGAGGAGCAGGTGTTGGGTTTGAGGGTTTCTTTGGTTCAGCCTTCTTGATCTCAACCTACAATAAACAAGCAAGTTAACCTACAACTTAACCTGCAAATAGTTTTTTGACACGGCTACAACGAATTATTGCAGGATGTGTGATCGGAATGTATATCTAGTTTCCTGATTCTATCATAGTGCTAACTTACCCAAATGATTGGCAAAATCACTACAGTAAATACTATGGGCTTTCCAATATACCACTTGAATATAATAACTAAAGCACTGAAAAGGTTATGCTACAGAGCTACCTAGAAGACACAACCAATTGTCACAGGGAAACTCACCTGGGCACCATTCATATCGATCATATTTCCATCAGCTAGGATACTATCAACGACTTGTTCATTGTCAAACACAATGAATCCAAACCCACGAGACCTCTTGGTAACATGATCTCGAATAATCTCATGTTCAACCACCTTCCCATACTTTGAGAAGAAACCCTTGAACTCATCTGCAGATGACCATCATAACATGAATAAGGTAAGTTGACCAAATAGGAAAAAGATACGGTATTAACAAAGTATCTAACAAGCAAGCAAAAATGTGCACCTTCTGAAACAGGGGTGGGGATACCACCAACAAAAATCTTTTTTGTTTTGAAATCCTTTGAATCACCAGACCCCTTAGGAATAGTCCTCTTAATCTCAACCTGGCCAACAGATACACTTTAAATTTGAGACCACAATAAGGGACGGTCAGTTCAATAATTGCTTGTTGATCGCCACAGAATTTAGAACGGCAAGTTTTTCAGTCCAGACAACTTCATCATCATATAATTTATTGATGACAAGATGCATTCAACTCAAAATTTATGCACTCGGCTAAAGTAGGACTACCATTGAACAAAAAGATGCAATTCATAAAATAAACTAAAAAATTTCAAACTAGCATGAAACCGTAATATCTTACACCCAACCACATCTTGCCAAAGCATAACAAAAGAAAACATACATCAGAAAGACCACAGCACTCGATCATTTCGTAAAGCCAAGAAAGACAGCGAACAATTAATTGGCCATAAACAATATGTACCATTCTTTAACTATGATTAGAACCGATCATACTACATTAATGAAAACAAAATACAACTCTATATATATAATATAACAAACGAAACATTTTGGAACTAATCCTCACTTGTTTTCCATTAATGACATGTGTTTCAGCTATAACCGTGTCAACAACAGCAGGATCGGCATAAGTTATGAAACCAAAACCCCGAGGTCGACCAGTGTGTCTATCCTTCATTATTACCGAGTCCGTTATCTCCCCATACTTGCCAAAATACTTCACAAACGTATCTGTAGAATTATTCATTCAAGAAGAAAAACAGAACAGCCACATAAAATAATTAATCAGATTCGACATGAAATTATCTTCTCAAAATAAAAAAGATAGAAAAAAATAGCGACTAACAACAAAATCCAAACCTAAAGTAGTGTCTTTAGCCAGACCCCCGATGAAAATCTTTCTGTTTCGAGATCATTAGGAAAAAAAAAAATCAATATTCGTCAGATAAAACTCATATATACCATACGTGAACAAATAAAAACACATGAATTTGAAACGCATGAATTGACGAACCCGGGGCTAGCGCCGTCACCGAAATCCGACCGCTT